TTTTCCATTAACTGTGCTCACTGTGGCACATGTGCAGAGAGTGCGAGCATGCTCCTGGCTTCCTCGTGAAGATCTGGCTCGTGGCTGGAGAAGTGTGCCAGCTAGGGTGAGGTGCTGTGCTTTCTTATGACTTTGTTCTTCTCTGAGACACAATGCCCAGCACATAATGTCGGTGTGCTTGCTGAAGTTGTCTGGAGGGAGGGAGGATTGATACCGCCCCACTTGCACCCTTCCCCAACACACATCAAGCCCGCGATGTGGCAAGGTAGAGCATTGACCAGATTCTAGGAAGAAAGACGTTCTGTTAACCTATTTACAAGGAGCACAGAGAAAACGCGTTGTTGAGTCTGTTAGTGGGAGGTAAATTTTCCCCTAATTGGTTTAAAAAGGAGTATCGTTTAGGGCAACAGTATAATGGAATGCAGTTGCTTTTAATTTCTTACAGGTCATTTAGTATCCAATTTCACAGACTTCAAAGAAAGGTTTAATCAAAAACTGAAGAGAAGGCTTATAACAGAAGTGAGGCAGGTGGGTCCTCCCTGCTGCAATGACAGGGAGACAAAAAGCCACAAAGGCGAAGGAAGGGGGGAAGGTCAGGTGACATGGATAGTTGTGGGGTGAAGGTTGAATATGAAGTCAAAGGCAAGACAGAATGTGTCTCAAGATCTTCGGTAACTGAGATTTTGTTTTAAATTCCTTCCACAGTGAACCTGAAATCAGGTGAAGAAGCTCAATATTGAGAAACAAGAGAAATAAGGGGGAAATAGCCATTTTTATTTAGGTAACTCATTCTCACAGGCATTGTCTAAATGCTAAGCAAACTTTGATAGCCTGCTTATCAAAGTGTGTGTGTGTGTGTGTGTGTGTGTGTGTGTGTGTGTGTGTGTGTCTGCATGTGTGTGTGTCTTCGTGTGTGTGTGTGTGTGTGTGTGTGTGTGTGTGTGTATCTGTGGGTGTCTCTGTATGTCTGTGTCTCTGAGTCTGTGTGTATCTGTGTGTGTGTGTGTGTGTGTGTGTGTGTGTGTGTGTGTGTGTATCTGTGGGTGTCTCTGTATGTCTGTGTCTCTGAGTCTGTGTGTGTCTTTGTGTGTCTGTATGTGTATCTGTGGATGTCTCTGTGTCTCTGTATGTCTGTGTCTCTGAGTCTGTGTGTGTCTGTGTGTGTGTCTGTGTGTGTGTGTGTGTGTGTGTGTGTGAGAGAGAGAGAGAGAGAGAGAGAGAGAGAGAGAGAGAGAGATGGTAACTTAGGAAAGATAAAACTGTTTTCCTTAAATTTGAATCATTGATTCATGCCATTATTACATGAATAGTTTCCAAACCGATCATTTCTGCAGACCAAAACAAACATATATCTGTATTGGGGTGGGGGGTATCCTGGATCACTTTCAGCCTGGTTATCAGCTACCAAGAAAAGAACGTTCTGCTCTGCTGGTCCATTCCACCCTGAGACCTGATGATTCAGAAATAGCTCACTAGCACCTTCTAGCTTCCCTGGTTTCATATTCAATCCCCTAGAATTAATATTTTCAACTGCTTAGGAATTAAAGAAAAGTCACATTTGAACATTTGACTTCAGACCTTAACCATTGTTCAAAATAGCTCTAGGGCACACCTTTCTTTTAAGGGTCACAATTAGACATTTGTTGTGAAACACTATTGAAGGGACACCAGCCCACTGGAGCATGTGGCTCTGGTGGCCTTGCCTTCTCCCCCATTCCCTCTGCCTTGCTAGAAACTGTTAGATTACATTCCTAAAGCTAGCCACCAAGGTCTATTCCCTTATTTGGACAATTCCTCCTCCTGAGGCTGACCACCAAGGTCCAGCTATCAAAGTAGTGAAGTCCAGCAATCAGAAGCCCCCTTTGGCTCCCTCACCTCATTAACATGCCCAATCAAAGTTAAATGCTTCATCCAAACCCGGGGTTTCCCCTTGTACCTTTATAAACTGTCATTTCCCTACGTACCACATCTGTTTCCTCTCCACCCTGATGCAGTCCTTTGTCCCCTCCAGGACAAATACCCCTGCCCCCTTTCTCTGGTCCCCTCCCCCCTTCTCCCTAGTCCTCTATCTCAATGTATTTGTCTCTTATCCCCTGCCCTCTGTCCCTCTGGGGCAAATAAATCTCCCTTGTGCTGAGAACTTGGCCTTGGGGGTCCTGAGCCAACACTTTTCTTTTCAACTATTCCTGGGGAGTCATGACCAAACATCGCCTCACCCTAGATGGAGAACTGATGACAGACCAAAGTAGAGTTACCACCAAACAATACCAACTTGATGAACCAATGAGTTTTATTGAAGTTTCTTACAGAAATACAAATGAGGGGTCACTTACAGGAGCAGAAATGACTCAAAGACAGCTGCGTCACCAAAGCCCAGCCAAGCATGAGTGACAACCCACAGTAGCTGGGAACTGGGAGCACACTGGGCACTCAACCTGGAGAGTGTTTCATCTAGGTACCTCGATTGGTCTGAGCCTGTTTCTGGTAACTCAGCTGGTTCTTTTTCTTCTAAACTGCATGATTGGTCCCCGCTTCCTCCAGACTTCTGGGCTCCATTATGCTTTTTCCAGGCAGCTTGGCTTGGCTGAGAGTGACCTTTGGCAGTCTTGACTGCTTTTACACTCTTGGGGAGGGAGGGACCTAGTGAATCTGGTCAGTTTCAGTGACTTCCTGAAGCTGTCTTGAGTTGCTTACATCCTGTCTTAATGAGCTCCCTGCAGGATGGAATATTTCAATCTTGGAGGAAACTGCTATACACATATGTCCATTTTATAACCCCAGCCTATTTAATGCACCCCAGCCAATTTAAAGGGATTCAATACTTTCCTCCATTTTCCTGAGTCGACATGAAGTACTCCTTGTGTGGTTTTTATATAATTACTTAAGCTTTGAATGTTTTTTTTTCATTGTGGGAAGAGTATAAAATTATAGACAAGTGTATCTCAGCTGACATCTGTAGTGGGTAGCCATTCCAGCTTTGACCTGGAAGCTCCAACCTCCATTGAGGCTTCGGTAATGGTCACTCCTACAAGGCGGGGCTGAGAGAGGATGCTAAAGACCTGGGTTCCAGATGCATGGGCTCTCTTAGTTCCTGGACCCTGGACGCTGGAGGTAGATGGAGCAGAGTTCTCCAGAGAACACTGCCGGACTGCACCACGCCTTTCCCAGACTCTGTAAACTATCCATTCACTTGTAAGTTACCCCACAAAATAAACCTCCCTTTTAACTACGTGGAGTGGCCTTAATAATTTCACCAATAGACATCAGTATTCTCAGGTTGTGCTGGTTAAGTTTTATGAGCTTGACACATGTCTAGACATGTCTGTGAAGAGGGAATCTCAGGGGAAGTGTTGTCTTCGTCAGATTTCCCTGTAGGCATGTCTGTGGGGCATTTTCTTGATTGCTAGTTGACATAGGAGAGCCCACCCTACTGTATGCAGAGTCATCCCTGGGCAGGTGGACCTGAGCTCCAAAAGAAGAGTCGTTGAGTAAGCTAGGGAAGCAGAAAAGAAACCAGAGATCCTCCTGGATCTCTACTTCCGTCCCTGCCTCCAGGTCCCCTGAGCTCCTACTTGGTTTCCCTGGATGATGGACTGCTGTACCCTGTAAGCCAAGCAAAGCCTTTCCTCCCTCACAGCACTTTTGGAGAGTGTTTTATCACAGCAATGGAGAAGCACACTTAGACATTGGTCCACCTCTTCATTCATCCAACAACTTCTATTGAATGCTTATGCAGGCATTTGACCCTGATGCTGACAGAGGTTATCACACTACACTATATAACTGTCACCCTCTAGAGCAGGGGAGGATGTGTGCCAATCCATAGTTTTTTATTTGTTTTGCAACTCCCTGTGAATTATAGCTATTTCAATTATAAAAGACAGGTTCAGGAGGACTGGAGCAAAACAGTGTCTTCTGGACATGATGGGGTCACTGAACTCCTTAAGTCAGAGCAGCAGAGCATCCCAGCACAGGACCTGAACTAGATCTAGCCAGCCAACATTGAGTCAGGGAGTTGGGAGAGGCTCCCAGCCCCAACCTATAGCTGAGGAGCAATGCATAGTCAGTGATTTCTGGGAGAGGGAAGTCAGTTTTCTTTAAGGATTTGTCCCTCAGAGGTTAAGCACATCAATTAATGACCCCCACATTCGCAGGTATATGGGCAGCACAATTTGGACTCTGTAAGTTATTTAAAAAAAAAAAAAAAGGAAGAAGACACAAAGTTGAGAGCTGGTGGGGAGCTGGAGGGTGCATCTGGAGCTGGGGGAAGAGTAGAGAATGACTAGGATCAAAATAAATTGTGTTAAATTCTCAAAGAATTAATAAAAATACAGAGAATTACTTCAAAATTAAAATTTTAAAATATGATGGCCAATTGTCCATGATTCTACTAATTTTAGTCCTGAAATGCCTATGCCCTGGAAATCCCTCATAGCCTGTCAAACCAGGACAGCGGGTCACCCTATGAATCTCAAAAACCATTGTATATCTACCTAGTGATGTCCCACCTAAAGAGAACACAATAAACGGACAAGAAAAAGCCAACATGCTTGTCAGGCAGAGTAAAGCGTGTGAGGCACACTCACCTGTGGGAGGCACCACTGCCCAGGGATCACAACCTTCTCCTAAGTCAGATATAACCTTCCAACCTCAGAGCCCTTCCCAGTGCAATACTACTCCAGATCCAGCTGTCAATGAAGAGGTTGTTAACAGAATCACAACCGACTTAATATCCTTGCATGACTCTATCACACCACCAAAGAATTTTATCCATTAAAAAGAAAGCTTCCGGGCTGGAGAGATAGATGGCTCAGAGGTTAAGAGCACTGCTTGCTCTTCCAAAGGTCCTGAGTTCAATTCCCAGCACCCACATGGTGGCTCACAGCCATCTGTAATGAGATCTGGCGCCCTCTTCTGATCTGCAGGGATATGTGCAGACAGAACACTATACATAATAAATAAATAAATCTTAAAAAAAAAAAAAAAAAGCTTCCGCCTATTTCTCCTACCAGATGGCCTCATCCAGCCCTAACGGAAGAGGAGGTGCCTAGTCTCACTGCAGCTTGATGTGCTGGGGCTGGCTGATAACCATGGGATGTCCACCATGGTTATCAAGAGAAACAGTGGAGGAGGAGTGGATGGAGCAGTGGGGGTGGGGAGAGGAACTAGGAAGAGGGGAGAGAAGGGAAACTTTGGTTGGGATATAAAAAAAATTAGTAGGAATAAAAAAGTGGTGGGGAAACAAAGGAATATTTTTGATGAGACCACAAGAGCACGTGTACTTCCTACCAACTGATTAAATGCATTAAGTAAATAAAACAAAAGCAACTATAAGAATCTAAACTGCTTGGAGTATATTCAAAAGAAAAATAATTGACATTAGGTGCAGTTTAATATGCATTCTGTAGACCTCACTGCCAGGGTTTCAGAAAGCGCTGAATATAGGTTTGGGGTGGAGTTAAAGTATAAAGGCAAAAATTTCATTTCATAATCTAGAATCGCTCCTCTGTGCTTCACAGACATTGGGAAGCCTCCGTATTCAGACGCAGACACCAAAATAAGGTACTAACTCAAGAATATAAAAAATGCCATTCTACGGGGTACATGTGTGTTGTTGCTGGTATAGGGATTTTAACACTGTTGTGGTGTCTCTGAGATGTCTTTTAGCTTTTAAGGACTGGAAAGACTGCCAGATCTAGCATGTCCATCTGTCTGGACTTCTCTAACATTCAGTACAATAAATTATCACTAAATCTAGTAAAGGAAAAAAAAAGAAAGCTTCAATTTCCAGGCCATGCTCTAGTCACCACTGGTAAAATAAATATAATTATTTAGAGTTACCAAGCATGGCTTCACATTTCTTTCACAAGATCCCCTGTTTGTGCAGAGTGTTGAAAAACTAGTTTAGCTACCTGCTGCTAGTCTTTTAAATTGTAAGATATTTCTATAAGAGATAGATTGACAGATGATAGATAGATAGATAGATAGATAGATAGATAGATAGATAAATGGATGATAGACGGATGATAGACAGAAAATAGAAATTCTCTCTTCAGTGAAAATGCTGCTAAAACTCTACACTGCATGCTTTATTAAAACAAGTTAATAACCAAGTGCCCGCACCCAGTATCCATGCACTTTTAAGACTCAAACTACACACAGGCTCATGTCCATCCATATCGTTTCTCTACCTCCTCCTCCCACCCACCTTTCAGGCAAGTGAGTATTAAACAGCATTCCTTCCAACCTTGCTTAGTGTGTTTGTACTTACTGATGAGGGCTCTTACCCACTTTGTCATCCTCCTGTCCTAAGAATGAATTTATAAAGAAGCAGAAACACTAAAGGATTGGATTCTTCTCTCTTCATTTAAAAACGCTGTACATTTTTTAAATCTCTAGTACAAAGGAAATTTTCCATTAATGCTATTGCCAGCCTGCTGAAGGACAACTATCACTGTGCACAAACAATAACTATTAAATTCATGTATTTGGCAAATATTGCCATTTCTAAGTTACTCGAATCATTATATTACAAACTATTCCGTGGTGTGATGGGAATGCATATTGCAAATACTGCATTATTTGAATCTAGCACCCTTTAACTTTTATAGAATAGCATCATTTCATAAATATACACATATATTTTTAACTGGGTTTATCTCCCCAATAGGTTACATGGCCTAATTAAGAATCTTGCAATGTGAACTATAAAGAGATTCTAAAAATAACGTTCAGCCACAAGCCCCTATTATTAATTTAACTGTGACCTCAAGTACCACATACACAAAGACTACAAAGACAATTTACCCATGAGCAGACAAGCTAAGTCAGCCCGATCATGTCAGCATTCACGTTCCCCTCTGATGACCTCTGTTAGAAAGATCAAAGCGGGGCCTGAAATTAAGACTGCGACGGTTTCCGTCCGTCAATCCAGTTTCACAGTGTCCGGTCGTTCTGCGGGCTTTCTATTCAGTGCAGCTGTTGTGGCTCCTGAGATGTTCAGCTCTCTGATAAGTTATTTTCCAGTCTTTTGGCAAGAAAGAGGCTATCAGAGAAATGTTTTTCTTGATGCGTTCCAGCTGGAAGTAAATACGCTCTCCCATCGAAAAGCAGGTCATTGCCTGGGGGCTTCCAAATGTTGCCTGATGGAGCATATAGGTTAGGGGTCAGTCAAGAACCACTGGCTTTTCGTGATTAAGGAAACAGAGTGGCGGGAAGGAGCTGAGCACTCAGAATTTCAATTCCAGATTCCCTCCTCATGCATTTAAAACCTTGAAAATGCCACTTAGCCTCTGGCTGCGCCTCCACAGCCACATCCCTAATTATTCAGTGTTTGTTGACTACTCATAAAGAACTGGTTCCCGAGGAGAACATGCAGCAATCAAACAGCGTGGCCACTCTGTGCTCCTTTCCAGCGGATTTTCACAACCTACGGCTTTGAAGATACATTTAGCATAGACCAGAAAGAAAGATCACTCGTTGCCCCAAGAACACTCATTAGCAAAGATCCAACTGGACCAAAAGTGGATGGATGGACACGGCTTACATTTCTGATCCAGCACACAATTCCAAGATGTTTTTGGTTCAGAGCAAAACAGAGGCTTTTATTCATAAACCTACGATCTGTGTTGTGGTTGTGGACGAAGCCAACAGCCCAATGTGGGGAAACCATGCCCTTTGATTTCCTTGGCTGTGACTGAGCTGAGATTTGATGTTCTTTTGGTAATTTGGTCAAGATAAGTTCATGACGAAGACAGGAAAAAGTGTTTTCTCTCTGCAGCGGCACCAAAGAGGCCCCTTGTGTTTGGACGTATATCCCATATCCCTTGACCCATGTCACCAGCACATTCTGTTTTAATCTGGCAAACTGTATTTGCATAGATAGCACCAGAGTACCTAGGAACTCCTTGAGGCTCTGACCATGACCAGTCACTGGCACTTGCACCAGGCACTATTTACCAATGTGTTTGACTGGTTGTTTTCCTGGCCGTGAGGAGTTACTTTAAGGGCATATCATAGGAAACATTGTCTTTAAAACACACGGTAGGAAGTTGCTTAGGTTTGGGCGTTTTGATTTCTTTCTGTGTTGCTTATAATCCTTGTTTTCAAATGAGATTCTGTAGTAAAATTTCTCTTTCAAAGGTGACCCAAGTTGGAAATCATTTATAACCAGCTAAGAAAAACCCACCTTTTCCTACTTCTTAAATTGGAAACACAAGCTCCTGCCCACTGTACAATACACAGGATTATTGTTTTCCTCTTGTTTCCTGTGCAGGCCTTCAATTCTTAGAAGCTATGTGTTGTGTAAAGATGGAAGTAGATTCAATCAGGAAGCAATGAAGATGTCTAACGCCATGTATTTTTGCTTTCAAAATCATACCTTCATCTACCTACGGATTTAGTCCTAACTACTTCAAACTGTGTGACTACACAGAGCCACACTGACATTTACTTTGGTGCTGTCTTAAATAAATGTGTGTGTGTGTGTGTGTGTGTGTGTGTGTGTGTGTGTGTGTGTGTGTGTGTAGTAACAGTAGGAAAGGTCAAGAAATTTATCCACTGTCATTAGAAAACAGGAAATTCCTCTAGGCTACATTTGCTTCTTCAGGAACCCAAAGGTTTGCTAAACATTTAACATTCCCATGATTCCTATGTTAGCGTTATAAGAATAACACATCCTTGTGCTAAGCTTTAATATACTAGGAACCCCATGAGCATTTGATATGCATCCTGTTTGCCCCTATGCTAAATGGCCCCAGGTGTCTCATAACGGTGGACTCCACAGCCTCAGCCCGCTGTGGAGTATGTGGAATCTCACACAGCCATACCTTCAAACCACCCTTGCTTCTGCCCGTGGTAGAGGTGAGAAAATAAGCAAGGCCTTAAAATATAGGCTGCCTGCTGACTGTGTCTCCACACCAGAAGGAGGCTCAGCAGACAGCAGGCTGTGCTGTGGAACAGCAGAACAACAGGATAGAATTAGATGCAGACCCAGATCATGCTTCCTGATGGAAATGGATCCCAGCCATCGGCTCCTACCTGATCTTCGCATGGATTGTTTTCTGTGGAAAGGTAGTAGAATGACTTGTCTTCACCTGACTTTGTTTTTCTGTTTTCTCCTTCCACAGTTCATCGATGTGGTTTTAAAATCCTAATAGTGTGCATTTTCGCTGCTGCCCACATGTCTGTGGACATACGTTAGCCCAGGAGTGTGTTTTCCTATTTTGTCACACAAGTCCCTAATAAAGCTATCAATTCAAAAACAAAAACACTAACCCAACAGCAACAAAACCTGTTTGGGCTTGGGACTATAGCTCGGAGGGAGAGTGCTTGCTTCCCTTGCAGGGCACCCTAGTTCAGTCCCAAGACTAACACACACACAACAAGCATGCGCGCGAGCGCGCGCACACACACACACACACACACACACACACACACACACACACACACACCAAAAAAAAAAAAAACTGGAAAGAAAACTGCTGGTTTCACTGGGTTCAATCTCCCAGCTCACCTTGAATAACAGTTAGAACTAGTAGCTAGATTCTAATGTTAAAGGACATTTGGAGAAAACGTCACAACTCATCTATAAGACCCTAACATAGCAGCAAGTTCCATTCTTTGCCTTTCATTTAGTCCAAGGAGCCAAGAGAGGCTGTCTCTGACAAACCCGGCACCGTGACAGCACACGGCAAAGCAGAGCCAAGGAAATTCCAAACTGCTATCTGTCCCCATGTAAGAGAAATACTTTATGACCTTTAAAGTAGGCCTTTGTCCATTAACACAGCTCCCTGACAACGCTCAACCCATTCGCTCGTGGTGGAGCTGACTCTTGGCTCAGTGAGATCCAAAGGAAGTAACAAAAAACACAGACAGGCGATTTTTATCGCTTAGTTCGTTGGGAGCTGAGAGCATTTGCTTAGGAATCCAATCCCATAGCCGTCAGTACTCAAACTGTCACTAACCCAGGCGGCAGCTTCAGACTGGCAAAGACACATGGGCCTTTCAGTTCCCTGTCGGGGACTCCAGTCTGTTTGTCACACAGCTGAGCAGAGATATATGTTAATAGTAGCACCATTATTTAAAATTAGTGTCTGTTTCAGGACTAATTTTACAGGATTATGTGTGACCATTAAATCAACATTTTTTTTGCAGCAGACTATACTTATTTCACTTTCAAAGTTGAGGGGCTTTTTTTTACCCATATTATTTTTCTGTTAAAGAACAGCAATCAGTTAGGACTGTTAGAACCACACTCTGATGATCATATTTTATAATGTGTTTTCACACTGAACAAAGGCAGATGGGAAAAATGAGCCCAAAGCTCTCCATCCATGATGAAACACAAAAACACCTAATTGAAGAGGTCACATATCCAGACTTCAGGCTGCTTCAGAGAATTTGGATTAGATCCCTCCCTTTGCTGGACTACACAGTCAGGTGTATCTTCACTTGAGGTCAGGATGTGCCGGGGAATCAAACCTGAAACTGAAAAGCAGAATAATTATCTACTTGGTGTCCAAAACCACGTTGTGAATTGTTGGGATGAGTTACGCCTGGGAGATCAGAAGCCATCTTCAGATGCCCCAGGTGCCCCTTCTGTTCAGTCTACCCATCTCCTTCCTGCACGGTCCCACACCAAGGCAGACCGTGGGGCAGCCAGCTCAGCGCGTGCTCTCTCTCTCTCTCTCTCTCTCTCTCTCTCTCTCTCTCTCTCTCTCTCTCTCTCTCTCTCCTTCCTTTCTGTCTCTCGATGAAGAGTCTTTCTTTCAACTCTGTCTAGCACCTCCAGTCCTTCTCCCCTGCCCTCTTCTCTCAAGCAATATAATTTGAGTTGAAATACAAACAGCGTTCCTCTCACTTTTTTTTTTTTTTTGCTTTTGCTGCATTAAAAAAAAATAATGAAAGAGGGAAACAAAGGCTAGTGTGAACTTTGGAGATTATTATGTCTTCTGGTCCCAGCTGCCAGATTTATTTCTTCTTTACAGCTAAATCAGGTCATTACCCTACAAATCTTTGTTCTGGATGAAAGATTTAAATCTCCACAGAATTTGGAGGCTGGGGGTGAGGAGGTGCAGGCATAAGCCGTACATAGTAATTGGCTTGATCTCATCCGGATGTTTGCACAGAGGCTGCCATCAAAATCTGATCAGCTTTTCCTGGCCCCTTTCACTTTTCTAGAGTCCCTGGCTATCCCAACAACAAACCACGTTGTCCCAGCAGTCTGTCCTTTGCGCTCGTTTATAAACTGTCCCTCATCTCAGACGTCATGTTTCCGCACAGCTACTTTCAACAATTGAAGACATAAAAAACATTTTGCTTTATAATATAATCGAGGGTTGTTTTTGTTGTTGTTGTTGTTGTTTGTTTGTTTCTGAGATGACAGCACTTGTCCTTGACGAGTTCTGAATTATTTTTTCAGAATAAAAAAAAAAAAAATCAGGCATGAGGAGGGCTTAGAGATTCCATTCAGTTCCTTTAAAGTCAAAACCAAAGACCAGCGAACAGTGGTGGCAGAAGTCTGAAAAGGCATTAAGTCATCAGAATCGCCACTCAGTGAAGCAGCTTTGGAGCAGATGTCACCCTCGTCATCTTTATCTAAAGAACAGGGAGGGACGTTGAATATATTAACACAGATAGCTGGGCCAGCCTAGAGCCAAGGCTGCTTTCACACTGCTCCAGGGCCCCAAAGCACCGCTGCAGCCTCCGCTTGACACAGCAGCCCTCTTTTCTCCTATTTCAGGGCGAGCAGAGGACTGGGATTTAGGCTTGGAGCCCTGCACCAGAACACTTGCATGGTTCTTGCTTAACACAGGAGAGTGAAGCCTTACACACCAGTCTGACTGGCTGAATTAAACCCACCTTGTTCAGGAACCCAGGCTGGAATCCAGTGTCCTAGGGCCTCTGTGTGCAGGTCTCTGGTCCTCTGTGTGCAGGTCTCTGAGCTCTCTGTGTGCAGGTCTCTGGCCCTCTGTGTGCAGATCTCTGGCCCTCTGTGTGCAGGTCTCTGGGCCCTCTGTGTGCAGGTCTCTGGACCCTCTGTGTGCAGGTCTCTGGCCCTCTGTGTGCAGGTCCCTGGCCCTCTGTGTGCATCTGGGCCCTCTGTGTGCAGGTCCCTGGCCCTCTGTGTGCATCTGGGCCCTCTGTGTGCAGGTCTCTGGTCCTCTGTGTGCAGGTCTCTGAGCCCTCTGTGTGCAGGTCCCTGGCCCTCTGTGTGCAGGTCTCTGGGCCCTCTGTGTGCAGGTCTCTGACCCTCTGTGTGCATCTGGGCCCTCTGTGTGCAGGTCTCTGGCCCTCTGTGTGCAGGTCTCTGGCCCTCTGTGTGCAGGTCTCTGGCCCTCTGTGTGCATCTGGGCCCTCTGTGTGCAGGTCTCTGGGCCCTCTGTGTGCATCTGGGCCCTCTGTGTGCATCTGGGCCCTCTGTGTGCAGGTCTCTGGCCCTCTGTGTGCATCTGGTCCCTCTGTGTGCAGGTCTCTGGGCCCTCTGTGTGCAGGTCTCTGGGCCCTCTGTGTGCATCTGGGCCCTCTGTGTGCAGGTCTCTGGCCCTCTGTGTGCAGGTCTCTGGCCCCTCTGTGTGCAGGTCTCTGGCCCTCTGTGTGCAGGTCTCTAGCCCTCTGTGTGCAGGTCTCTGGCCCTCTGTGTGCAGGTCTCTGGGTGCTACTCATTGTGATTCTTTGAATGAGCAGGTAGAGCAGAACTGAGGCCCTGGATTTGGGGCCTTTGGGAAATGTCCATTTTCTACAGATTTGATGTTTCCTTCCCAACTGCTGAAGAGGTTCTCTAAGCTGTCTGTCTGTCAGCATGCCCCTTCTGACAAAGGGAATGAGGGCTTGTCAAGGATCGGGGGAAACGTTCTTGGGTCAAAGCATTCATGTCAAAAGTCCTGTGAAAGCTGCTGAGAACCTGCCATGAACAGTAGAAATCCTGACTGAGAGAAAGGCTGGAACTAGGGGGCACACAGCCTCAAATCCCCATCTGACGAAACTATCTCTGCCCTGGTCTTGTCATCTTGTCTGAACATGCTCCCTCTGAGGACCTCTCCCAGTTAAGCAGGCCTCTTTTAAATGTTTAATGCTATTGTTTTGTTCACCCCATCTCAGTCATTAGTTTACCACATTAACCTCAGTCACCTTGGGAGAATGTGGTCTAGTCAGCACTAATGAAGGCCTAGATGAAAGGAATGCTCTAGAACATGTGGGAGCAGAGATGGTAGGGGTGATGCTCAACCAGTGTCCTGGGGCTAGCAGCCAGGAGGACTGACAATGTACCAGTGTACCCCCACCGGAAGTTGAATACACATATACCTAGCAGCAGGGGTGGGGGTGGGTGTACCAAAAGGAAGTTGAGGGGTGCCTCCCACCACCTTACCTTCATCAAAGTTTTATCAACAAAGACTCTAGAATGCACGCTTGGCCCTTGTCATTTAAGATGGTGAAAAGCAAAGTAGGCCACCTCAGTTTGACAGAATGACAGCTGTTCCCACAGCAGCTTTAGAATGCTATTTGAAAATCAGATCGTTGATTTTTTTAAAGGCTCCATCCATTGTCAGGCTTGTTTTTCCTTCAGTTTATCTAAATGGGAGCTTCCTTATCTGCAAGGACACAGATACCTTTGCTGGGAGCATCCTGCACCATACAAATGTGTTACACGGTAAAGCTCTTTCTGGTAACATTCAGGTGTTCTGCACTACAGAAGCCTTCCAGTGTACTAGCAGCATGGGTTAGAACACAGGAAAACATGATTCGTTTGGATCTCTAAAAGAATGCAATAGCACAAAATAGCATGATATTTGTTCCAATACTTGAACATGTGTAAAATCCAACTTGTGTGATTAGTTCTTTGAAATGATGCTTATTTGTAACATGCTCAAATGTCTCCCAGAGGGTAAAGTGGTCTACAAAAACACTTTTGATCTCCATTCATTTCTCAAGCACCTCCAGATTAAAGGTCCTGTTGGGGAAATAGTCTGCTTGTGTGTGGGCTGAGAGGCACTTTTATTTTCAATGGGAAGAAAGAGGTTGAGTTACACTTTGAAAGATCTCCTTACAATTAGGAAATAACAAGCTGCCCGTGTAAGTCGCTGCTTGCCAATTCCCTGCCAGCATCTGCCAGCTCTCCATTGGAGGGCAACAATGGGGCAGGAGCATTCTCCTTTCCAAACGTGCTCATGTAAAGAAAGCATCTTTGACCTTGCTGTCCCGCCACAGTGCCACAAAGACAAAGGTTGTATATGGATGAAGGTGGGATTTGCTACCTGAGCAAATTAAAAATGACTCAGTCAGCCCGGTGTGGTGGCGCACGCCTTTAATCCCAGCTCTTGGGAGGCAGAGGCAGAAGGATCTCTGTGAGTTCCAAGTCAGCCTGGTCTACAAATCGAGTTCCAGAACAGCTAGGGCTGTTACCCAGAGAAACCCTTTCTCGAAAAGCCAAAATAAATAAATAAAGTGACCCAGTTCGATACAACTATACAGCACCAGTAAAAACAAAGCTTTATCGTAAAGGTGAAAGATTTGAGTTCTCCTCTCAATAATGCCTAGCTACGCTGAAGTTGAAGAAGCCATTTCATTGCTTTGAGCCTCAGTTACATCATCTGCAAAATGAACAGCCTAGTTGCCTCCTTTACAAAATTGTGTACAAGACGCCAAGTGAGGAACATCTATAAAAGATAACACCATATCATGTGTGATACCCGGTACGACGTCGGTGAATCTCAGTTAGCTATCACACACCAGTTACATTCATGACTGCAGCTTTGGGCTGCCTTTATGCTGGGCACATAAATGGACATTTCTGAAATGTTTTTGCATACTGAAGGCTCAGAGTACAGTATCATTTACAAAGAAGCAATGTAAGCATTCCCAGATGTCAGCGAATACTTTTCGAAGTGAGAGCCTACAATCAGACATAAAGTGCTCAGAGCTGGTTTACCCTGAGCTCTGGAGCAGAGTAAGGGTATGTACCTTTAAGCACAAGATCTGGGAAGATGTTGTCAGGTCTCTTTTACTGACAGCTGCTCCAAAGGTCAAGCCTGTGCATGAATCACAATCAGTTAACAAAGGGAAAGAGGTCACTTGAAAGTTACTGGCATGTCAGCTAAAGCCGTCTTTTTTTAGCTGGTATACTGTAGGTATCTTACAAACAAGGAAATCCTGCATTCAGTCATTCCCCTTCTCACAGAATCATTTCCCATCTGTCTAAGAGATGTGATCTCAAAACGGTTTGCTTAGATCCACTGGCCAGTAGAAAACATACAGAATCATCCCACTAGTGTTTCTTGTCTAGATCTCATAGGCTTCCCAACATGCATAAATCATAAAAATGAGGGAATGAACCCCTTACAATGTTACACATGAGGGAATGGACTCCAGAGAGGTTTAGCATTCCCTCGACATCTCTCTGATCTCCCTCCTGTCCCTTGCACAACCCACATGTGACTTGCAATAAAGACAAGAGGTTAGTATCCCTTTAAATCAAAAGACCACAACACAAAGGGATGCTTTCCACTGGGTGCAAGACAGGACACTTCAGGGAAACCATCAGTTTACCCAGTATTCATTAAAACAGAGCAAACCGTGCTGCCCTGTTAGTTTTTTCTGAAAACCTCAGCAAGCTGTGACCTACTATGAATAGAAGAGAGTGGAAAGCTGCCTAAGCGATGAGAAGAGCCAGGCTGTGAAGCGTCGGTGATTATGCACAACTTGAATGGGGAAAAGTGAGTTTAATTCCACACGTGCCCTCTGTAAAGGTATTAACTGGGTAACCACATTAGCAGCACTGTTGAAGATGGAAAGTGTGTCCTTGTACAAACAGATAGTGAAAATTAATCTGACTCTTAGCTTTACAGCTAAGACAACATTTTCTACCCAAACAAACAAAAAACATATACAGTTTTAAAAAAATCTTATTTGAGGTTTCTTTCTTTAGTTAGCCAGTTCTTTCACCAACCACTTTTGTAAGTGTACTCACACCACACATGACACAGACACCCACATGTTCCCACACACATTCACATACATACATACATATCACACACACACCATACACTTACCACACACAAACATACAAAACACCTCTCTCTCTCTCTCTCTCTCTCTCTCTCTCTCTCTCTCTCTCTCTCTCTCTCTCTCTCTCTCTCATATTTCTGCCAAGAATTACACATGATATTAATTCCAATAGCACTTTTGCAACAATGAGAGTCATATGAACACCCATAATATATTTCGTTTTTGTTTTTACAATTTTAATTTAAGCCAAGAAAGAAGGCAGAAGCCCCTCTTGACAACATGAAGAGCCATTCAGCTAGCTCTCAGATCTGGAAAGGTGTGTCTGCAGGAGGCTGAGGAGAATTGAAACATCAATCAAGAATCCCCCTTTCTCCTTCAGCCAGAAAACCAATATAGAACTGAAACCCTTGCTTCACACTTTCTTACCCCACTGCCTGCAAGCTCACATGGCACCCTATAATTCAAACAGAGAATGAGATGGCCTGGGGCTCTGTGGGAGCCAGTCAGGAGCCGGGCTAAGCAGACTGCACCAGCTTTACTATTACTGATGACAATCGTTCACAGCTACCATTTCTGACTTGACTTCCACTGTTGCTGACTTTTCCATGCTTGCTGTCTAATTACGTCCCATCTTGAAAATGCAGCACGAGAAAATTCCATTTCAGCTCTAATAATAGAAATGGGTAATATTTACTGCTTTAGCAGATTGTGCTGTGTTGTGAATGAAGGCTGCCTCTTCAGTCACATTACAGAGACGAAGTTTCTCCGGCAACCGTGGAACGTATGGGAATTAGGAAACTAAGTAGACTGTGGGGGCAATGTGACTTTAAGAAAGTAATTTAATCTAAATTGTGATGTTAAATGGAAATCTCATCCATAAAAATTGTATGTTGGAAAAGCAACTAAATGTCTAAGTAGGGAGAAAAGGCAATTTTAAAATGTTATTTTAAAGTATATTAGTGGCACTGAATCTCACGCAATTGAAAAGTCAGATCATTTTCCCAAACAAAAGCTTAGTCTATAAGCTTAGTGATAGCAATATGCTGCATTTGTTGAAAATAGAAGAAAATGCCAAAATAACCTTGAGCCACAGATAAAAGCAAAATGATAGAATGGTATTCTGGGTAAAGAGCGGCCAAAACAAACCTGCGTGAAGATTTGCACACAGTAACTGAAGAGGTGGTGCTTAGGGTGTCTCTTGCTATTAAGTTCACGAAGGGCCATGAAGTTTAGATTTCCAGCAGGCAGTAATACACTGCTCTATTAGTAAAAATTAAGAAACGCTTTTTGCTTAATTTCTCTACTAAAAAATATTAAGAAAGCTTTGAGGGCTGAATAAATGGCTCAGTGGTTAAAAGTACCAGGTTTCTTTGCAGAGGACCCAAGTTCAGTTCCCATATGGCACCTCACATCCCTAAGCAACTGAAGTTCCAGGAGCTCTGACCCCCTCTTTTGGCCTTCATGGGCACTGCACATATAAGGTGCACAGATATGCATGCAGGCAAAACACTCATACACATAAAATCAAAATAAACACATTTTTTTGAGAAACCTTGAACACATTATAAACAAACAACTTACTTTTCCCTGGACAACAATAAAGGACAGGCAAACACCATCAGTTACCACAAATGAAGCAGTTCTTGCTTGGGGTGAAAACTGAGCCTGAATTTGAAGATGTGTAGTCAATCTACAGCAAATAACTTCATGAGATTCTAGAAGAGTTCAGCAGATACCACAGAACACTGGAAGGAAAGATAACTGAGTAAATTCTATGTCAATTCATATTTAACATTTACTGTACTGTGTTCTAACAATTGAGTAGGGATTGGCTGGGTGGGACCTTCCTCATCAACATCCCAAGAACAAAGTAAGTCCGAGGATCCCTCTACATCACCATCCTCACTAAGGCTTTATAGAAGTGGTTCTCAGCCTTTCTAATGCTGCGACCCTTTAATATAGTTCCTCATGTTGTGGTGACCCCCAGCCATAAAATTATTTTTGTTGCTACTTCAAAACTGTAATTTTGCTATAGTTATGAATCATAATATAAATACCTGTGTCTTCTCATTGTCTTGGGTATCTCCTGTGAAGGGTTTGGTCAACCCTCATGGGGGCGGGGCGCGGATCACCACTCTGTAATAAATGCTGGGGAACTGGAACGATAGCAGATGGTGGAGCTCCAATCACAGATGCTCCTCTGCCTTGTCTTGGGCCCGCATCACTGGAGGCCTTCTCTATGGATCTTCTCACAAAAGATGTCACTGCCTTGAATGGCTGGCACTATGCAGTAAACAACAAAAAATTGCCTTTTGATTGAATTTTAGAAAAGAGTTTTGCTCTCAAGATACAGGGAAGAATTATAGGAAAATTCTGCAGATCTTTACATAAAAATTCATAATGTGTATATCACCTTTAATTATGTTATCCTACATCTTTTAAATGCACTACAGTTGAGATTTAAGTGCCAAATGGCTTAGTTATCACTGCCAAATATGGCCTAAGTAGACATTTACAAATGTACAAGATATTATATGATGCTATTTACAAGCTGTAGGACAACTTATAAAACTTTTCTGAGTACAAAGTGTGGAAGCTAGGATGAAAGGTAATGTTTCACATGGTTTATAAGCTTTAAAAAACTAAATACAAGTTACCCTCCAGCTAAATATTTGTGAATGCACATACTGTCTTCTAAAACCTCTCAGTAAATACAAATAAAGAGTAGGTAAAAGCCATGGAAGTTCATCCTACCATGAATATTAGATTCTTTCCAGAACTAAATCATTTCAAGACAGAAATGTTAATGATCCTATTTTATTGAAATAGTGTAAACATAAATTGCAATATTACAATGTACTCTCTTAAATATGTACAACTTAAAAAATTTGAGAAGAAAGGGTTATTGTGGAAATTACCCTAATTTTATCCTTATACTTTATACACATATATTGAATTCTGCTTATATTAGTCATCCTAACATTGCTATGACTAGATATCTGGTAATAGTAACTTAACAGGAAGAAAGGCTGACTTTGGCTTCCAGTTTAACATGGGTACCATCTATCACGTTGAGGCAGGCACAGCAACAGGACTGTGAGGCAGCTGGCTAGACTGCATCTGCAGTAGGAAGCAGAAAGCATGAATGCTGAATTGCTCTCCTTTCCCTTTTTATTTAGACCAGACCGAAACTTGCTGTGGGATGTTCTCTATGCTGTGAATGTGTTGCTCTGATTGGTTAATAAATAAAATGCTGATTGGCCAGGAGCCTGGCAGGAAGTATAGGCAGGACAAGGAGGGAGGAGAATGCTTGAAAGTGGAAGGCTGAGGCAGGGAGACGCTGCCAGCCACTGCCGTGAGAATCCTGATGTAAGGTACCGGTAAGCCACGAGCCTGGAGATAACTCCAGCAACACAAGCACAAGCATGCTGCCACCCACATGTACAGCAGTTCTTGCCACCTTAACTCGTCCAGTATAGAAATGCTCTACAGACATGCTCAGAAGTTTGTCGCCCAGGTGATTTTAGATCATGTCAAGCTGACCGTCAACTTTGATCATTGCAATGCTAAATGCAAAATATGTAGACTTGGGTAAGAGCGATGAGCTATAATCATGGCACAACATGAATAGCATCCTCTTGTGAGGTTCCTTCCATCAAACAAACTAGTCCATTACTTTCAAATTTAGTCTCATTCAAGTTCTCAGGACATGGGCAAACTCTTTGTCAAAATGTAGCTGAAATGGCCTCCAATCAAGCTCTCTATAAAGCCATTGAACTTCATGAACCAGGCCTCCACTCTCAGTGTTTCTCTCCACAATCTCATCTTCCAAACTGCCATGAGAATGGCCTTGAAACTCTGCCTACAACATTCCAGGATATTCTAATCTGAAATCTAAAACTCTTCCCCATTCCTCCTTCAAATCAGTTACAAAGGCCTATAAAACACATAGTTTGTCACAGCAACAACCCCACTCTTGATACCAATTTCTATATTAATTCCTTTTCTCAGAGCTATAACCAGAGCTGACAAGAAGTAACTTAATGGACAAGGGCCTTACTTTGGCTCACAGTTTAACAAAGGATACAATCTATCATGGTGGCATGAGGCAGCTGGTCATTGTGCAATCTCAGTTAGGAAAGGGAAGAGTGATGAAAGTTCCCTTTCTCTCTCAACTTTTAAGTCTTTTTAAATTATTTATTTCTTTTATTGGTGTTTTGTTTGCATGTATGTCTGTGTGAAAGTGCTGGATCACCTGGACCTGGAGTAACAGACAGTTGTGAGCTGCCATGTGGGTGCTGGGAACTGAACCTGGGTCCTCTGGAAGAGCAGCCAATGCTCTTAAGCCTTGAGCCATCTCTCCAGTCCCTCATTTTTATTTTATTTATTTATTTACTTACTTACTTATTTACTTATTTATTTGGGGTGGCACATGTGTGAAGAGCAACAGACAACTTGTAGGAGTCAGTTCTCTCCTCCTATCATGTGGTTCTGGGGATCAAACTCAGGTCGGCAAGCTAGGCAGCAAGTGCCTTTACTCACTTAGACACCTTACTCACCTCCTTTGTCTTTCTTCTCAGTCCAGACCCCAGCCCATAGAACATTGCTCCCAAATTTAGGGTAGGTCTTCACACCTTAATCCAGTCTAAAAGTCCCTCACAGAGACTTGCCAAAGTTTGTGTCCCTGCCAAAGATCCTGTCAAGTCGAAAATCAGTGTTAACCATTACAATATTACATACCCTCCCCCCTCTAAAACAAAACATAACTAAAATATTTTCAAATACTTTAAAGGAAGTAAAAAGTGCTTAAACCTCTCTATGAGCATGTGTAAGGAGAGAGGGGGTGGAGAGAACTACCTAAGAAAAGAAAAGAGATGTGGTAAGGCATGAAGGACATGCAGACAGAACCCCTTGTTTCCTAATGCTGCTCATGGCTGGAAGTAGCAGCCATGAGGATGTACATTGCAGTCATCCTGTGACAGGGATTGAAAGTGATATAGGCCCCAGCTATTCAACAAAATCCTCAGCCTTCATCCCAAGGCTCCCTTCCCACATCAGCTACCTTCCTAGGACCAAGGATAGCAGGGACACTCAGGCAGATAGGTCCATGTTCTTGGGAAACACGGAGTCTTGCATTGCCTAGTTGGGGAAAGCACTACTCAAAGGCACTGCCAAACCCCCCTTAAACTGCTTGGTTGGTGATCAGGATACTGCCATGAAAAAATTCTCCCTCTTTCACTCATTGTCAACCTTACCTCACCATCTGATGACTCTCCCAGCCCTATCAGACTCCCTCTCCATTTTCTCTCATGAGAATCTCCCCTAAGGAACCCTGACACATTCAGTTCTACTGGACTATGTTACCCCCGCAAAAAAAAAAAAAAAAAAATGCAAAATTGGCCAACAATTCTGGAAGCATCTGTTCCCTGAAAGCCTTACTTTGCTTCATGTACACCATCTCCAGAAGTTTCTCTCTGCTTCTTTTTCTAGGAAAAATACACAAAGTTTAAATTTTCATCTTGGCAAATCTCCCCACCTGGTGAACTGTTCAGATATAGCTGGAGACATTTTTCTGAGTGCTTTAAAAAGGAGTCTAATCATAATGGGAGGCAGTTTATGCAGAGGAAGTTCACAGCGTCAGATAAATACTCATCAAATGCTCAGAGGCAGGTCTTGCTTGGGGATGCCTTATTTTAATATTTTGAAGTTTATAAATCAGGCAGAGCACTGTCTTTCATCCTGGCTGCCACACTTTTACAGTTAGTAAATTAGGTTTTTCATGGTATCCGTAGGTTATAAATAGCATAGTCCTTGTATGTTTAAGACATATTTGTCACTCTGTGATACCCATAAATTTGGCATTTAAAATTCAATTCTAAGGCATTTCAAATATTCAGGATGATATAAAACATAATCTGGGTCTCTAAACTTTGGGTTTTTATGGCTGATATTTAAAATAATGTATCAAGAGGTTAATACCCTGTCTGAAATTGTCTCCATGTCTTTCTACTCACAACTGGTTTGTCTGTTATGACTGTCAGGATAAATTAGGAAAGATTTGAGCCAATTGTCCCTTTAGACACAGCTTTAAGTATCCCTGCCATAGATGAAAAATGGAAAGGTTAAACTAGAAACTTCTGAGGTTTCATCCAACTTTAATAGCAGAGGGTTCTAAAATTCTATGGTTCGACGCAGTCAGATGTGCTTAGAGTTCTCGGTCTCCAAATCTGAGTGCAGTAGAACAGGCTTCTCTAAGCATCTTCTGTGGCCACGATTGCTGCTGGTGTAACAGGCAGGAACTGCTGGGCTGCTCCCGGAATCAACCTTAGACAGGAGGTAAGGGACCACATCAACAACTCTGCCTGATGCAAGCTGCCTCTGACCTCTGGCCTCTGGCCTCCTTTCTATTGCTGCTTTGGAAAAGAAGGCATGGTGGAGTTCAAGGGGATAACATACTCTAGAAACAATTCAACTTCTTCCTTGAAGATTTATTTATGTATTTGTTTAATTAATTAATTTTATTTTGTATGTCTTTGGGTATTTTTGCCTGTGTGGATAATGTGTGTATGCAGTGCCTGAGAACACCGGTAGAGGGCATCAAATCTCTGGAACCAGAGTTCTGTGGTTTTAAACGAGAAGATATTTACCAGCCATACCCTTTCATAAGCAATACACTATTTACACTTACAGAGGCCACCCGAGATAGCACAGATAAATGGCATATAGCCAGACATGATAGTACATCTGTAATCCCAATGCTTGGTAGGCTGGCGCAGAAAGGTTACAAGCTCAAGGGCAGGCTGAGCTACAAAGTGGGATACTGTCTCATAAAGTCAAGGACTAGGGACGTAGTTCATTAGTGGAGTGCTTGCCTAAAATGGACAAGGCCCTCAGTCCATAGTACCACACACACACGCACCCCAAAACAGATAAATATCTCTAATTAAACATCTGCTATTATCACTCCAATTAACTATGGAAAATGCCGTGGATATTCTTTCTGTCGTTTTTCAAATTGTGGTATCTGTTAAAATTAACATGCATGCCAATGTGTACATTTATGTTAATAAATACACATTCATGTCTATTCACACGAGTTCCCTTGATAAGAAATATGAATACCATAAAACTTTCTTTTCTAAGCATTATAAGCAACCACGATGACTTCAAATCTACTATATAGAAATTACTGGGCCACTCCTAGGCTTAGCCTCAGTTAGCCAGGCGTCATGGCATTATCTCCATAGTTCTGACAATGGCGTCATGGCATTATCTCCATAGTTCTGACAACGGCGTCATGGCATTATCTCCATAGTTCTGACAATTTTCGCTCTCTAACTCGTTCTCTTCCTGATTAATTTTTCTTCCATGTGCTTGCTATGGTTTAGGTAAGTGTTCCCCAAAAGGCCAGTTATTAGAGGTTTTGTTGTTAGTCTTTAACACTATTAGCAGACAGCAGAGCCTAGTGGAAGAGTAGAGTTACCATGGATATGCCCTTGTAGAGGATATAGGAACCCTAGCCCCTCCTCTTCCCCTAGCCTTTGCTTCCTAGCTACAATAAGTAAAAATAAATAAATAAAGAGATGATAGATAGATTCTTCTACTATGGTCTTCTATCATTTACTGTGCTGTTAAAGATCAACAAACACCCCAGGACCAAATGCTCATCAACTGAAATCTCTGAAACTATAAGTCATAGTCAAGCCTGTGGTAGTCTGAATGAGATTGGCCCCAAAAGTTCATATATTTGAATACGTGGTCCCAAGTTGGCAGAACTGTTTGGGAAGGATTAGAATTTGTGGCTTTGTTAAAGAAGGTGTCAGCGTCACTGAAGACAGGCTTTAAGGTTTCGAAATCCCAGGCCATTCCCAGGTAGCTAATGTCTCAAACTCTCTCTCTCTCTCTCTCTCTCTCTCTCTCTCTCTCTCTCTCTCTCTCTCTCTTTCTTCCTCTCCCTTGTGATTGTGGATCAAGATGTAAGCTCTCAGGTATTCCTTCACTGTCATCATGGACCCTAACCCTCTAAAACTGTAAGCCAAATTAAACACTTGCTTTTATAAGTTGCCCTGGTCATGGTGTTTTATTATAGCAATAGAAAAATAACTAAGAAAGAAGTTGCTATCAGTCAGAGGGCTCTTGCTGTGACAGGCCTAACCACATGGTTTTGGGAGGAATGTGGGAGAGTGTAGGAGTTTGGACTTAGAAAGTGGTCCAACACTGTAAGCAGAGCTTAGTGGGCCATCCTAGTACGAGCTTGGAAGACTATAGTGTTGAGACCAATATGGATTATGGAGGCCCATCTCAAGAGGTTTCAGGAGGGAAACAATATTAGCAACTGTGCTAGAAACCATTCTTGTGATATTTTGACAAAAGATGTGAATGCTTTGAACTTTAAACTGTGTTGAGACTATGAAGGACTATGGAGACTTTTGAAATTGGGCTAAATGCATTTTGTACTATATTATGGAGATAAGCCTATGAGGGCCAGGTTGTGGAAGGTGTGGATTGAATGAGAATGACTCTCATAGACCCATATATTTGAATGACTAGTCATTAGAGAGTGGAACTTTTGGGGAAGGATTAAGAAGTGTGGCCTTGTTGGAGGAGGTGCGTCAGTGGGGGTGGATGTTCAGGTTTCAAAAGTCTCACACGATTCCCAGTGTCTACCCTACTTTTCCTTCTCCCCTACCTTGCGGTTGTAGATCAAGATGTAAGCTCTGAGATATTCCCTCATTTTGCCATCATGGACTTTAACCCTCTGAAAGTGTAAGCCCAATTAAACTCTTGGTCATGGTGTTTTGTCACAGTAACAGAAAAGTAACTAAGATAAAGTTTCTCCTCCTTCTAAGTTTATTACTGCAAGTGTTTTGTCACATTAAAAAAAAACAGCTGGGCCTGGAAATACAGCTCAGTAGTAGAGTACTTATCTAGCATAAATAATGCCTATACATTATGCCCAGCGCCCAGCACTTAACACATTCTCAAGTTCCCTAGCAAATCAATTAGTCAATAAACCAATAAAACTTTATGAAACTTTCATAGCTTGAAGGTCTTAGGCAACTAACCTCTGCCTACACATTCTCTTCAATGCTATCTTCTTTTCAACCCCATACATAGCACTGTTTTATGAAATTTAATTAAAACAAATTACTGCTTACCTTTTACCTCAACAAAACTGCAACCTGAATTGCTTTGACAACACAAGTTAATTATTATGACTTTATAATAAGCTTTGATAATTGACTAAGTTTATTCTTTTTTATTGTTTTTTTTTCCTTTTACTAGTCCTTGCATGGGATTCATTTGTGTTAATTTTGGAAACTGCTTGTCAAATTCTGAGAAACCCTGAGGTTTAGATTGACCTCCCTTTGATTTCATGAATTATTTTGAGAAAAGCAGTTTTTGTTTTTGTTTTTTTTTTAATACTGAGCCTACCTGCCTGCACTAATTAGTTCTGGCTACAATGTGAGCAACTATCTGCTAAAATCAACTTAAAGAAGTTGGGAGCTATTTTGGCTCACAGTTTGAGTCCATCATGGTGGGGAGAGCATGGTTGTAGGAACAGCTGTTGCTGTGGAAGCAGGTGCATGAAGCAGCTGGTCACTCTGCATCTGCAGTAGGAAACAGAGAGAGGAATGCTGGTACCCAGGTTGTTTTTTTTTTCCTTTTTCTCTCTTTTCATTCTATTCAGAACACATGGAATGATGCTGCCTAAATTCAGGGTAACCCTTCCAACTTTAACAAAAGCTCTCTGGAAAGGCCCTCACAGATGCACACAGAGGTCCATCTCAAACATGATTCTGTATGGAGTCAGTGGACAATGAATGTTACCATCATAGTGCCTGACTATATGACATAATTTCCCATTTACTAAGGCCATTGAATATGTTAAATTTCATTATTTTTTCTCAAAATTCATATATTATGTTAAATTTAATCCCATATACTTTGGTAGCTTTATGGCTATGAAGAACAAAATATTTTAGGTACATTTCAAATTCAATGTGTTAGATACAAGAGCAAATACTTGCCCACTTCCACTAGATATCAGCTTTGATAAACTCTCTGGTAATTTCTACTGGTTGTTAAGTATTTTCTTGAGCTTCAAGTGTAATTAAATGATCTGTGTGAGTTACTGTGTTTGCATATTTCCCATTCTTATGTTTTTCCATGTTATATTGACCTGCCTATGACCAAACAATAATGATTAGAAATAT